TCGGTCTAGTAGACCATCTTCAGGACATATTCATAAAACAAAATTAACATAGACCATATAAGTTTTAGATCAAATAAAATTCTTTTCGTTTTTCCTTCAAAATACTCAAATTTTAGGAATACGTTTTCACAACATCGCCCACGTGATGACGACGTGATCATATTTAAACGGAACGCTGATCTTATAAAAAATTTCAGTTATCTGTTTGGATTGGTATTGCTTTTATGTCCATCGTCTTTTTCATGTTGAATTGTATATGGTCTATGTTAATTATGTTTTATGAATATGTCCTGAAGATGGTCTACTATACCGAAACGTCCGACGTTGACATTACATTAACATTAAAATTCTTTCAAGTTTACGGATTAATTTCTTGGTGGCCTTAGAAAATTGATTAAGAAAAATACCAAAATTTTCTTTCAAGTCATTGAACCAAACTTGTTTGAATGAAAATATTCTGGTCGTATCGTAACGGCCCGGGTTCAATTCTCGATAGTGGATGCTTACTGCTGATGAGTCTCAAATATAGGACGAAACGACGCCCAGTACTTTCTGCATTCTGCTGAGGTTTCTTCTAGACTCGATGAATTACTTAATTATAATTATCTCAAAACCTGCTAATAATTTATACGTATATATATGTGTGTGTGTGTGTATGTGCGTGTGTGTGTGTGTGTGTGAGAGAGAGAGAGAGAAAAGTGTGTGTATATATATATATAAATATATATATATATATATATACATGTAATATATTATATATATTGTTATTTATATATTATGTGCGCGGTACTTATTAGAAAGCGCTCAATATCAGATAGAGCTAACATATTTGGTTGGATTGATGTGAGTTTGTGACCCTGAGTTTCACGCTTTGTCTGACGATCGCAAGAGCGTGAAATCCAGGGTCACAAACTCAAATCAATCCAATCAAATATATATATATTAAGACATTTTTTATGTTTATACGTTCTTTTTTATAGATACACATATTTTAAGTTTATAGTAAATAGTATTAACGACATGAATGTCGGAGAAATTTTCATAGAAAATATGCGTCCTCCGACAGGAATCGAACCTGTATCCTATACGGAACTGTCACATAGCCTGTCGTGCTTTTACCGATTGAGCCACAGAGGAGCGTTCCGGTTAGCAAGGTCGATTTTACTGTTTTTAAACTACAATTCTCCATGATTTTCTCTCGTACATTCATAGACATAACAAAAATGTCATTTTAAAATAATTGTCGGACTTTGTCCATTTATATATATATATATATATATATATATATATATATATATATATATATATATATATATATATGTATGTATGTATGTATAATTTAAGATTATACCTATATATCAAATAGATGATTGCTCTTACCTACAAATACAACAAAAAACTTCATAGTCAAATTTAAACCAGCACTAAACAAATAATAACCCCGCACACATAAAGACACGCCATACACACATAGTGACAAAACACACTAGTCTGACCACACACACACACACACACACACACACCATACAAGACACATAGTTAATGTATAGATTTCTTTATAGTAATATAATAGCTAGTATATATGTATGGAGAACGAATATATACACACATACTGGTAAAAACAAACACCCTAACGGACACACGCGCGTGCACCCCCCCCACACACACACAAACCCTAGACACCATACAAAGTGTGTATTTATATATAATATCTCCTTGTAATAAAACAATATATGTGTATGGAGAACATATACACATACTAGCAAAAAACACACACACAATACACCAAAATAGAGAAAGGTTTACAAAAATACAGATGGCATAAAAAGTTAATAATATAAGAAAAACGACATCATTCCTTCCACCCCCACTTTCTCTAACCAATTCTAATTGTTTTATTTACTCTTGAAGTAAAAGAAACATTTTCCCACCATATGCAAAACTATATGCATAAAAGCATAATGAACAAATACGGTAATGGATAACAATGCACATCTTTATATAAATACTTATAGTAATGAACAACATATAGTTTTGTACTACTTCCACCCCTGAAGATGATCTTGGAAGAAGATCGAAAGTACTTGGGAAATGATAATAAAAGAATTTTAAACAGCTATAGCACATTTTTCTCACCCTTTAACATCAACACACGGAAGATTATTCGTGGGTATGAATGGATTATATATATATATATATATATATATATATATATATAACGGATTATATATATATATCGGATTATATAAATAGAATTATATATATATATATATATATATATATATATATATATATATATATATATATATATACATATATATATATATATATAAGCTGTCAGATCCTCATACGTCGAGACCGACGGGAGAGTCCATTATTATATAAATATAATATAAGAGGCTCAAATACTAATATTTCATGGTTATAATTTATTAAATTTGAATCGTAATTACGATCCAAATCATCAGAACTACAAATTCAAAAAAAAAAATATATATATATATATATATATATATATATATATAAAAATTTGTGTATTTAGGGAGCAAATTCTCATCTAGACATGCCTGATTGAATAAAGTATTTGGTAAATGAAAATACAAAAATTTAAACAGCTATAGCACTTTTTCTCTCATCGTTTAACATCAATACACGGAAGGTTATTCATGAGTATGAATAAATTTTGTTAAAATAATTAGTGGACATAATGTCTGTAATTTATTCAATCAGACACACACACATATGTATATATATATATATATATATATATATATATATATATGTATTTGATGCTATATATATATATATATATATATATATATATATAATTTCAGTGCAGACACGTTTTCCGTCAAATAAATCCTGTAGGTCTTAACAAAACTATCCTTCTCTGAATTTCATGGACTGGCGCCATAGAGTAAAAAAAACAAGCAAACGATGCCAAATAACAGAAACCTTATCATTTGAAGATTTCCAACAACAGTAACGACTAAAATGGATTGCGCATGTCACGTAAAGAGAAAATAATTACATATTCAAGATGTTGACATTCCACGCTACATCGCACAAAAGGCTAGAAAGAATACCTCTGTCATTACTGGAAAAGGCGATAAAAGCCACTGGACTTGGGAAACGTATTTTCCTGAAAAATTGATTTAATACAAAGATTTTATACAGCTCAATCAACGGTAGCGGTGGCTGCTCGGTCAATGAATGCCGAATGTTTCCTTATAGGGAAACGGCTAATGTTACCCTTAGATATTATAAGAACAGATACTACCCTTTGATGCCAGCCCGTTGGCAGGGAGTGCAGAAAAACATAACTCGATTAACGCGATGAATACCAAATGTTTCCTTCTAAGGAAACGGTTAATATTACCATTACCATTAGAGATGAGATAAACAGATACTACACTTTGATTAAACGCTTAACTCGAGTAGGGCTTCAAAGAATGCTGAATACTTCCTTATAACGAAACGGATTACCATTACAATTACCGAAATGGTTCGATGGCTGGTCCCGCAGACTAGTTCGTTTTGTACAGCAAGTTTGACAGACAGTGGGTTCGCCACTTTAGTTATCTCCATTAGGAAATCCAATTCGTAAGCTTTTTTTTTTTTAAATCAATATTTCTGTAGTGAAACTTTCTATATCGATTAGTGTATGTATGCTGCGATGCACACAACGTTACAGCCGTTGTACATCACTTCCGACTTTCTTCAGTTGTCTGTAGTCTTGGATAACTTTCTCTGGACATTGACGAGACAAAAGGTAATTCTCATTCTGCCTTCACTATATGGTATTATTTGATATTGTCTGGTGGGCCTTGCGCCAATTGCCCGTTTCTTCCATTGAATGTACTTCCAATGTACTGGATTTTTTTCAGTACCACTCAACCCAGGGATTGAAATAACACGTAACAAGATGTGCTTTATCCAACGCTTTAATCTACTAGGCTTTGTGAACTGAAAACTCCAAAGATTCTCGTTAGGTTCCGTTTCGTAACAGATAATATAGTCTCTGAGGATGCCACGCGCGAGTGCACGCACACTCATGCACACTTCTTTCTTTCTTTCTTTCTTTCTTTCTTTCTTTCTTTCTTTCTACCACAGCTTGTTCATATCTATCGATCTATCCCATTCTGCTCATTAGACAGGCAGACAGAGAAACAGACAGATGGATAGAAAGAAAGAAAGAAAGAAAGAAAGAAAGAAAGAAAGAAAGAAAGAAAGAAAGAAACAGACTGGGATAAATTGATAGTTATGAACAGACTGAAGAGATAGATAGATAGATAGATAGATAGATAGATAGATAGATAGATATGAACAGATTTACATAGATAGATAGATAGATAGATAGATAGATAGATAGATAGATAGATAGATAGGGATAAATTGATAGACCTGAAGAGACTGCGAAGATAGATAGATAGATAGATAGATAGATAGATAGATAGATAGATAGAAAGAAACAGACTGTGATAAATTGATTGATATGAACAGACTGAGGACATAGATAGATAGATAGCAAAATCTTCTTGCACACCATTACGATCGGGCTATTTGGTGTCTTCACCATCTGATTCTTTTCCCAGATCAATCTAAGGTTAGTATGTCCTTCTCTTCTTAAGATGACACACGGTTAACGATTGCGTCATTAGCTTTTTATAGGTACAAGAATCTAAGTTAAGTCTAACCGAAGCAGAAGATTATTTCTACTTGCATGGTATTTGCTATTTTTGAAATCTGGGCATTGGTACGTCAAGCTGTTTAACTCGTTTCTCTTTCCAATGGTTTAAAAAGAAACTCTTCCAATCATCTAAGCAGCCAAAGATTTTCAAAATCAAAACATCTCTCTTAAAATAAAAACTCTCCTTTCTCTTGCTTTTTTTTTATTGCTTTAATCCTTCAGTATCTGTGCGCTTTCATTTAATCTGCTGCAATTTGTTCCGGATTTATGACGCTTATGATCGAATCATCTATCTGTCTTATTCTGTTCATTAGATAGATAGATAGATATAGATAGATAGATAGATAGATAGATAGATAGATAGATAGATAGATAGATATGAACAGACTGGGAAGATAGATGGGATGAATAGATAGATAGATAGATAGATAGATAGATAGATAGATAGATAGATAGATAGATAAGAACAGATGGAGATAGATATGTAGATATATAGGTAAGAAAAGATGGAGATAGGTAAATAGATTGATAAGAACTGATGGAGATAGATAGATAGATAGATAGATAGATAGATAGATAGATCTGAACAGACTGCTAAGTTAGATAGATAGATAGATAGATAGATAGATAGATAGATAGATAGATAGATAGATAGATAGATCTGAACAGACTGGGAAGATAGATAGATAGATAGATAGATAGATAGATAGATAGATAGATAGATAAGAACAGATGGAGATAGATATGTAGATATATAGGTAGGAAAAGATGGAGATAGGTAAATAGATTGATAAGAACTGATGGAGATAGATAGATAGATAGATAGATAGATAGATAGATAGATAGATAGATAGATAGATAGATCTGAACAGACTGCGAAGATAGATTGATAGATAGATAGATAGCAAATCTTGTTGCAGCCTAAGAATCTATCTATCTATCTACCTATCTATCTGTGCGCGCGTGCCTTTAACGTCAATGCTTGTGTTTTTAAAAGATGGAGACCGTGACAGACAGGCGCATGAAAAGTCAACTAATTCTTGGCTCGTTATTTGAGCGAGTGTTCTCGCCTTTACTGACAAGTACATTTTGTTCGAAGCCCCGTTTTGTAACAAAAGCGTCATATTAAGGGTTTGAAGTTGATGAAGGATGTGAATTTATTGGGTTAAGTGGAACTCTTTTTGTAAACGTCTTTGCGAAACGATTTCGACTATATGACCACCCAAAAAGGTACTCTTAAATCACGCAGATGTGAGAATTTCGCGCCGTGAGTAACGGAAGCTGTTAAAGTGGGCTGTCGTATTAAAATTAAATGATCAAATTATCTGAAGAAAATAACCACAAATACGAAGTAAAAAAAAAAAAAAAATTCAAATAGTCCCACTTATCTGGAAGGACTTTTCTTTGCTCTTTTTTTTAATAAGATTTTTTTTTTAATTTCATCCTCTGCTTCATATTTAAAAGATAAGTTTCATACGCCTATGCGCAGTCTTTCAGCTATGCATCTTCTTACTTATATAGGATTACAAATGAACTGATTTGTTTAGACATCAGGGTTGAGTGAATGATTTAGATGCTTGCTGTCGACTCTTTGTAGTTTTTTTTTTTTTTTTTTTTTATAATCCAAAAAGTACTTTTAGATAGTAAGAATTTTTGGAGATAATAATTTACTGATATATGTTGTTGTGGAATAGCTGAACACCCCCACAAGATGGACTGGTCTAAGATTATTTTAACAGCACTCTCTTTTAATAAGCGAGAGGAGTTAACGATTAATTGTTTATTATATTATTCTATGTTCTCAACCATGTACAATATTATTGCCCGGAACAAACTATTTCTTATTTTCTCTATGTGCGCCAACTTTGCCTATTTACGACAAAACAAGCTTATAGTTTGAACAGAATGAACTGAAACTTAAGGGAAATCCATAAAAGAGATGCAAAAATTCGCAGACAGCTCACTTGCAATAAAACCCACTATACAAAAAATGATGTTGATAGTGTATATTTGCCTAGGAGCATGATTCAACTGCAATTTCAGCAGTGGTATTTTATAAGTATCGTGAAGCTATAAAAGATTGGATGTTAAGTCTCATAATGCAGCATGAGAAATTTTTATTCTGTATCAAAGGAAACTGACCTTTCTCTCATCAGCTATGACTAAATAACAAGACAGGTTGGGTCTTATAGACTTGAACGATAACCGATCTAGGAGAAGGACAATTCCTAAAATTAAAATCCTGTAAATATGGGTTAAATAACATCACCAACCCGCAATTGACATGGCCAATCAGATGCACTGGTCTAACACAATTTAAACCGCACTCTCTCTTACGGATAGGCTGGACTCAACAATTATTCGTTACCCTGCTTGATGCCTCTCAGCATTCGGGCGGAGAGGAACCTAGACGAGGCTATACTTACGGACAGAGACACGTTTGGGGAGATAGACAGCTGCCGTGTATGCGGGGGATCTACGCGGAATTTTGAGCCGAGCGCAAGCGCTCGGAAATCCCCACGTTAAAAACTGGCCTTGTGCCATATCCGGCATTGTGCTGAGGTCTTCGGTAAATATCCAGGAGTTAATGATTAACTGTTTATTATATTATTCTATGTTCTCAACCGTGTACAATATTATTCTCCGAAATAAACTATTTCTTATATTCTATGTGTGTCGACCTTTCCTATTTACGACAAAACAAACTTATAGCTTGAAAATAAATGAATTGAAACTTAAGGGAACTTCATAAAAGACATGGAAATATTCGCAGACAGCTCACTTGCAATAAAATCCACAACATAAAAGATGTTGAGAGTGTATATTTGCCTAGAAGCAGTTGGGGTAGGAGCATGATTCAACTGCAATTGTCATATAAAATTTCAACAATGGTACTTTATAACTATCTTGCAGCTGTACAAGATTGGATATTAAGTCTTATAATTCAGCATGACAAATTAAATAGTTTTATTCTGTATCAAAGGAAACCATCGGTTCTTCCTTCAGCGAGGTCTTATAGCCTTGGACGGTAACCGATCGAAGAGAAGGAAATCTCCTAGAATTAAAAACCTGCAAATATGGGTGAATTAACCTCACCAACCCGCAACTGACATGACCAATTTACGGTCTACGAGGAATTTTGGCAAGCGCTCGGAAAGTCCCACGTTAAAAACTGGCCTTGTGCCACATCCTGCATTATGAGGAAGTCTTGCGTAAATACTGAAGAGTTAATGATTACTTGTTTATTCCATGTCCTCAACCTTGTACCCTATTATTCTCCTGAATAAACTATTTCTTATTTTCTGTATGTGTGTCACCCTTTCCCATTTACGGCACAACATAAGTCTTACTAATTAACCCATAGCTGGGGGGAGAAGAAGAAGTGGATTCATACTTTTCCCAGGAGTAAGTGAATATAACGAACCCAACTAGAAATGGAACTCGGCTCTCCGATTTCCAATTGCGGGCCGTTGTCCATTACACCACCCGTACATCCAAGCTTACAGCAATTGGTATTCCAAAGCGGCCACCCATCTAGGTACTGACACATGGATAAAAGACGTTGGTTAGATCCAGTGACTAGACCCAAAGAGTTGTGCGTTCAATACCAGGCTACAGCAATGGTGAACCAAAAACTTGGAGAGTTGAGTTAAAGAGAAAATAATTGAGACATCTGGAAGCGGCACGTGGAACTAGAACAATCTACACCGGTGGACGAAATAATGGGTTCGGTTCGAAATGCTAGCCACCTGAAGAAGGCCGGAGCGTACAAGGGCCGAAACGTTGTGAATATTGCAATGAAGATGAGGATAACAGTTCGAATAATGTAAATAATGTAAATAATCATAATACCTCATCTCAGAGATCTAGACAGAATATAGCTTACCTTAAGATTATTCACGTTATATATATATATATATATATATATATATATATATATATATATATATATGGTTGACCCGTCATATAGAACTCGCCTGGTAGTATATATGGTATCCACTTTACAAGCTACAGGTACTGGCCGATTGCGTAATAAAGCATGAAACTGGCAGTCGTGGCCAGTGATTTCGTAACCAGATTTTGATTTATATATATATATATATATATATATATATGTGTGTGTGTGTGTGTGTGTGTGTGTGTGTAGGCAGCAATCCTTCTTTCATGCACATTTCATTGAATACGACAGGCAAGGTTCTTTTATTTAGTTTTTTATACAATTTCTCATGCGATATCATTTTTTTTTTCTTTTCGGATGATAAATTATATAAAAACTGTCCGAATGTTCTTTTTTTCCGAGCGCTTTCGGCTATACATTTACCCATTTTCAAGGATTAAATATTTGAACTGTTAAATAAGAAATAGTTTGTTGCATGTATGTCTTTTTTCATTTTTCAAAACACGGTCAAGATATTATGTCCATGTTCAAAGTTAATAGTCTTAAGTGTTGGTTTTTTTTCTGTTTTTATTAATAAGGCTTCCATTATTTTTAGCCTTTTTTTTTGCATGTAGATGATGCTATTATATTAGTGTTGTCAACAAATATGTTACGAATAGTGTCTGGTAGGTCTCCATGAATAGTTAAATGAGATCTAGTTGAGCTATGGTCAGAAATGTTTAGAGTGAGTCTGCGTGCCAAAACACACACGCACACACACACAGAAACGCATATATATATATATATATATATATATATATATATATATATATATATATATATATTGCTAATACCCACTGGCGAGTGAACGGGTGATTCCCAGAGAAAACGTCTACGAAATTCTGGAGTCAGGATGCTGAAGGTATCATGAATCAGCTTTTATTTGTATTAATTCTTTCTTTAATAAATATACATATTGCACGATTCGGATTTTTTCATACACAACGCAATCTTCAGGTTCTGAGTATAGACTGACGGTTACGTAATTTAAATTTTAAAAAATAGATCTGGTTATCCCAATGTTGCCGTAGTTGTATATTATGCTGGGATTACAAATTTTTTATAATTTTTAAAATTATATTTGGCTATTAAAATAAATGAGATTTGTATATATACGTGTAAAAAAAATAAAATTTATTTTAGAGTTGTGAATTTTACTTTCTTTAGAATTAAAGAGAGATAATTCTTTTTTTTTACAAAAAAAAGGTAAAAAACAAACCTTAATTTACCTTAAAAATATACCAGTTATTTTAATTTTAACTCAACTCTCTAAGTTTTTTATTCATCATTGCTGTGACCTGGTACTAATTAAAAATTAAACTGGATCAACGTAATGAAGCAGATATATATTTTTATGCCTTGATGTAACCATCAATTCGTTTTTCATGTTTAATAAGCTGGGGTTATTTAATTAATTTAAAATAAGCAATTTTCCAACAAGACATAAGTTACATCTATTTCCTTTCCTGTCATAAGATTTGGCTCTAGCTATAATATCCCTGTTGATGGAAGGTGAGTTACATATATATATATATATATATATATATATATATATATATATATATATAATGTTGCTGAAAAGTTCTTGTCCAAAATATGACTGAATGACTAAAAATCAGAAATTTCTTTTAATATCTTCTTGATGTAGACGAGTACTTATCTTTACTTTTCGTGTATATATAGCAATGTAACAACTTGTTTATAATTAGAGCATCATAAAGACAAGCAGTGGATGACGCAACAAAAATGTTTTCTTTATTTCCTTCTTTCTTACTTTCTTTTTTCTGTCACTGCTTCCATTCTTTCTTTCTTTCTTTCTTTTTTTCTGCCATTGCTTCCACTCTTTCTGTTTTTCTTTCTCTCTTTCATTCATTACTTCCACTCTTTCTTTCTGCCATTGCTTCCACTCTTTTTATCTGTTTTTCTTTCTTTCTTTTCTTTCTTTCATTACTTCCACTCTTTCTTTCTGTTCTTGCTTCCCCTCTTTCTTTCTTTCTTTCTTTCTTTCTTTCTTTCTTTCTTTCTTTACTTCCACGCTTTCTTTCTGCCATTGGTTCCACTCTTTCTTTCTTTCTTTCTTTCTTTCTTTATTTCTTTATTTATTTACTTCCACTCTTTCTTTCTGCTGTTGTTTCCACTCTTTCTTTCTTT